CTCCCTCCAAATTCGCCAGAATTTTGTGGTCTTATCTCTCATTCTAGCAACTGTGAATTCATTCACTGATCCCATGCTCCTCTGCTGGACCTTTTAAATCCCCACCTGCATCTCACTTGAGTTTTCAAATATGTGTGGTTCGCGTTCTTTGGAAATGGGTGATCCATGTACAGTAATGTTGGATCACTGAGATCCTCCCCTTGTCTGCCTGAGCTGGACAAGGCTTTCTGCAGCCCTTGTCAGTCATGAGGGGACTTCATGCATTCACTGTTTACTCATAGGTTGTGAACATTTAACAAATAGTGTGACCTTGCTGTCTGGGGATAGAAAAGTGAAAAAGACAAGGCGGAAGGGAGATTAAAATGTAGGGGAAGAGAGCTACAGCACGTGGGTGATTCTAACACAGTGGGTTTCTAATGTATTCTCAGGACCGTTAGAGGAAGCGCATTAGTGGGAAAATCTTGACTTAACCTGGAAACCAGATACTCTGTTATTCCTGGGGCATTGAATAACTGGGCAACACCTCCCGTCTCCGGGCACGTCTTATAACGAACCAGCCCTCAGAGTCTCTGACGGAGAAGGTCTTTCTTTAATTGCACATGTTTTCTATTAATTGCATCATTCGCTAGTGTGGACAAGGAAAGGAGGATGTGGTGAGCTCTGTGCCCAGAATGCAGGTTTTACAACTGTGCTTCCATGAAGGGTAAACCCCTGCTTCCTCCAGATGGCCTGAGATCAGAGCCTTGTGGGTGAACAGTGACAGCAAAAGCCCTTCTTGAGAGCAGGGAGGTTTTAGTGGGTGGGATCTAGATTCATAGCCAGGCAGCTGGAATTTGAGGGGGTACCACGAACAGTCCTCAGTGTAAGTTGTTAACTACCAGGCGACTGAGCTTGGAAACAGAGCTGGTTCCTGGGATTCGAGAGCCAGATGCTCAACATAGTGATGTTATGGGGATTTTTAAAAGTCAAGTTACTTTAAGAATGATCAGCATCTCCAACTATTTGGCAAAGGAGTTTTACCTTCTTAAAATCAAATTTATCATTAGGGACAGATTTGCACTGTTTCTCTTACTGTATTTTCTCTCATCTTGTGCCTCTGACCACTGCGTTCAGGAAAGCTGACTCTGGGCTGTGTTTGGATAGGTTTATGGGACACGCTCGCCACAAAATGGATGCGAACTTACAGACTGTCCTTGCCTGTCATGTGATGCTCTGAGCATCAGTGATAAAGAAGATATCTTTATCAGGATATAGATAGGAGGTCCTGCTCACTGAAGCTAAGCAGATGAGGGAAAGACAACTCAGACCCTTGCTTACCGTCAGTCAGCAGGAAAATCCCACATATGCTGAGAGTGGTTGCATGTGGGAGGGAAGCCCGTGGGCGACTGTGAAGTTTCCTTCTTAGACTTGTCTGTGTTTTCCAAATTTTAAAAATTAATATGTTTAATTGCCTACTGAAAAATACCACTTAAAAAAAGGAAGGAAGCAAGGCTGTGGGTTATGTGGACAAATCCTCCCATTCAAAGCAACCCAAACTGCTGGATAAATGTTGAAATGAGTTTCTTAAAGGCATTTCAGAACTAACAAGGAGTAAAGTGTCACCAAATCAGAACCCAAACAGAAGGAAAAGCGAAATAATTGGGTAGAAACTAGGTTCTGCGAACGGCTTTTGCTTCCAGGCATGAGCAAGGGTTGCCATGTTTGACTTTGGTTTTGAGAGCCTCAGAGGGCACCGCCTGGGCTGTCAGAAAGACAGATTTGATGGAGCTGAGCAAAGAACCCACGAACTAGTAGATAAATCAGAAAGAATTACCCAGAATGCAGCACAGAGAGACCAACAAATGGAAAACGGGGAAGATTAGTGAAGAGACCTGGCACAGAGATTGAGAAGGGAGGTCATGTATTTAACTGGAGCTCCAGGAGAAGAGGAAAGAACAGCATCCTCTGAAGAGAAAATGGTAGAGCCGTCCCCAGCTCCACGAAGCCCACTGAACCCCAAGCATGGTAAATAAAAAGAAATTAATATCTAAATATGTCGTAGTGAAACTGCAGGCAATAAGAATGAAGATAAAATCATACAAGCAGTGAGAGGAAAAACAAAACTTTTCAGAAAGATCTTTGGAAAATCTCCACATTATCTGGAAACTAACACATTTCTAAGTAACCCAGGGATATTAGAAGAATTCAAAAGGGAAATTAGGAAGTATCTTGAACTGAATGAAAACTCAAAACACAGCATATTAAAATGTGTAAGATGCACCTGAAGCAGCATTTAGAAGGAGACCGAGAGCAGTAAACTCTTGGAGATCTCAGATAAATGAAATAAATTGGAAAACAATAACGAAAAAGTCCCCAAATATTTGGAACCTAAACAGCACACTTTATATAAATAACCCCAAAGAGGAGAGAATTTTGCTTTCAGCCCCGATGGAGCAACAAGACTGGATTTTCCTTTTCCCCTCCGACGTCCAGAACGCTGGATGAACGTGTGAAACAACATATTGATTTCCCTTCCTCTCCTTCCCCCCTCCTTCTTCATTCCTTGCTTCAAGCATATGAGGAGTGTCATCACACGTTTACCTGTCTTGTTAGAACCAAAGCTCCTGGAAGCAGGTGGTCAGGTCTTGCGTTTTGTATCTTGTGTTCTGGTACGATGTTCACGCGTTGCAGGGTCCAGTTCATTTTGCTACATGAAATGATTGCCAGCCAGCTCAAATTCGTGACTTCACAGCACACGGAATCTCTTAAGTTTGTATTTTGCTAAACTTTTCTAAGCTTTTTTGTTATTTTGTTTGATTCTCCCAAGAATGTTGTGTAGTAGGTGGGCTGGCTAAGTAGTCCCATTTTTTCCAGATGGGAAACAGGCAAAGAACCACATCATCTATACCGCCCATGGGAGAATTTTCCAATTACACTGATTATTTGTGGTGAGGGTAATGAGTTAGTTCCATTGTTAATATTTTTTTTTCTCCTTCTGGGTTCCAACTTGAAGACAGCAGAGGGCGCCTGACCACACAAAAGATACACTGACGGTTAATGACATATTGGTTGTTAAGATAATCCATTAAAGTATCAAAAATATGATTTCACTAAAATAGGACCATGTAGTTAATCTTTTTACTATTTTGGGATTCTGATCTAATTTTAAATGTTCTTTCTAGCTTCTCTGTCTGGGCAATGAGAATTTCAATCTCACGGAAATCACCATGACCCATCACCCAAGAGCCTTCCAACTCAGCTTGAAGATTCTTTCGGGTAATAAAAGCATTGAACCCTGCATCTACCAGACCCTTCTAAATCTTAATAGGGAATATGCTCTCCCTTTCTCAGTCCTCAAGAGGGGCCCACTGTAATGTATTTCCTACAGGTGCTCTGTGACTCAAGGGCCATTTGGCTTCAAGTGCATTGCCTCAAGGTCATCCAATATTCTTAGAAAAGTACAAGAAGATTAGCTATGTCCTTAAAGTCATATTGCACTAGAAGGAAAGCAGGGGCAATAGTAAGGACTTGGCCTTTTGTAGCTCATTGTCAGAGATGATTATGTCTGGAGGCTCAGGAGCCAGCTGACCGTGAAATTCTGTAGCTTCTTTCTCTACACATCTAACTGTTTTTTGTTTTGTTTTGTTTTATTTCATCATCACACATGGTCTCCTAATCTCCTCCAAGCAGCGCTGGACACAGATGCAGCCTGAATCCTCCTCTACTTCCCATAGTTTTCCCAGGCTTCATTTTTCTTTTTACATAACTAGGTTTATGGACAAGGGTTGGAGTCGGTTGGAAAAGCATTCATCCCTGGCTCTTTTGGGGATTAGCATTTGATTGGATCTGTTAACCATAAAAATAAAAGTTATTTTACTAGCAAAAGTGGGTTTATTCAGCAATGGCAGAGGAATTGCAACTCGGGACACCTAAGCTGTGGCAAAACCACAGGCAAGTCCAATAAAGGAGAGGGGTGCTATTTTCTGGAGAAGGAGGAGGAAGCTAGGAGGGGTTGTTTGGAACAAAGGTGCACAGGAGAAAACCAGGGGTCCAGGGTACTGAGTTGTGGGGTGGTCTATTTCTTGCAGAGAATGCAAACTCCGTCTTTCCTTACGGGGCCTGTAATGATTCCGCCGCGTTCCCTACAATTGACAGTCCTTCCTGGAACTGACCTTCTAGCCTCCCCTCTGTTTTGGCGAGGTTTCCTTACTAATTTTCATAGATCCAAGGTAATTTCTTTACGGCTGAGCCCCGTGTCCGTTCACTCACGAAGAAACTAGATCATTTCGTGATTTATGCTTTCCTTTTGCCAAATGTTTGCCTGTCCTTGTCCTCAATTTGCTGTACTTCCCTGATCACCAGCCACAGATGGCATTTTCCACGTAAGGCGAAGGGTTTCCGTCCGGCCCTGTGCGGACCACAGCCCCCCACGCCCTACAAGCGGCGTTCCCCTCGCCAAGGCTGCTCCAGCCCCGTCCTGGAGCGCACCGCGCGGGCAGCGGCTGCTTCAGCTTCCGGGCTCGGAGCCGACTGCGCCGGAGGGGCTCCCCCGCCGTCCGCGGGCGACGAGGGAGCGGGCCCGCCGGGGCGGGGGCCGCCGCCGAGCCTCCCTCCTTAGCACGGCGCCCCGAGCGCCAGGACGCGTGCGGCCCTTCTCGCGGGGGAGCAGGGCCGCCTTCACCAGGAGGCTGTAAAGCCCTGAAGGCGTGGGAACGTTTCCCTGGGGCGTGAGGTCGAAGCAGTCACTTAATTTTAAGAGGGTCCGAGTCAGAAGCAAAGGCGACTCGCGCCCCGCGTCACCCCGCCGGGTCACTAAGTGCGGGGGCGCCAAGCAACGGCTCGCCCCGGCCCGGCCCCGGGGGAGCGGCGCAGCCGACCGCTTCTCGCCTACGCGCCGCGCAGCCCCAGCCCCCAGGCCCCGGGAGGGAGGGGCCGCCGGCCGGAAGCGCGTAGTGCGGGGGCGGGACGCCAGTGTCGCGTTTCCGCGCGCCGGCCTCCGCGGGCACGTATTTCCGGCGCGCCGCTGCCCGCGCCTCTGGGAGTCCTGCTACCCCCTCGGACCGGCGCGATGGGCAAGAAGGGCAAGAAGGAGAAGAAGGGCCGCGGGGCGGAGAAGACGGCTGCCAAGATGGAGAAGAAGGTGTCCAAGCGCTCGCGGAAGGAGGAGGTGAGCGAGGCCGGCAGCCAGGCCCGGCGCGCCCTCCGCTCGAGCTGCCCGCCACCCGGAGCGCGCCGCTGGGGTCCCGGGTCCCGTCGGGCTTCCCTCGGCCGGCGGGGCTGGAGGGTCCGGGTGAGGGGGCGTGGCTCGGCGACGGTGGGCTCTGGGGCGAGGGCCTGAGCTTCCGAGCCTCTGTCCTCACCCTCAGAGAGAGGGCGAATGACCCTCCCGGCGGCTCCGAGCCGTGAGCTTCCCTGGGAGCGAGTGCAGCGCGGGGTTTCCAGGACAGCTCTTGGGAGCAGCGCTGTCTTCTCTCTCCCGCCCTCCGTCTCTCCTTTCTGTCTCTCCCGGTCTCTCAGTCTCCATCTCTGCTGCCCCGCCCCCGCCCCCGCCCCCCCAGCCCGGGCTGCAAATGGGTCGGTGCTGAGTTTAGCGCGGAGGGTTCTGCTTTCTGTTGGCGGTTGCTCGCGCGCTTCCTAGCCTGGGTGGTTTATGCTGCTTCGCGAGTGTGTGCCGTGCTGCCTGGGCTTCCGTCCTCATGACCAGGTGAGTTCGGTAGCTTTGGCACGCCCAGCTGATAGCGAGGAAGTCAGAAACGAGTCACAGCTGTGGAGTGGCGCCGAGCTATAGTTCGACCAGATGTTCCCAGTTCCCAGCTCTGACTCCACACTGCTGCTTTTTTCTTCAAAGCCTTTCATGCCTCTGTTTCCTCATCTGTCAAGTGATGGGGTCGGGCTTTTCCTTCTGCTTCCTCTGGGCTCTGCTGTCGTCAGGTTCTTCACCACTTCCCTGTGCAGCCACAGGCCTGGGTTTGCATCTCCTCTCTGGCACGGCTAGCCGGAAGGCCTCAGAGGAGCGTGACCTGTCCGTGCAACCTCTGTGCCTCAGTTTCTCACGTGTGGCTGCACAGGCCTGGCTACGGTCGTGGCACAGAAAGATAGTGAATTTGTGGGGCATCTTTAGAACAGTGCTTGGCACATAGTAAGCACTCAGTAACTGTTAGCTGGTTTTCACTCGTGTCCCGTCTCTCTGCAGAGCCCGGTGCTTAGGGGATGACAGGGGCTCCCCTGTGGGGAGAGAAAGCCTGTCGGGTCTGGGGCCTGGGACTTTGCATGTTGCCTTCATCAGTCCTCAAAACAGATCTTGAGGATCACTGGTCGTCTGATGAGGTCGTGCCCATAGAGGATACTCTCCCTTTCTTAAAGTCAGCTGTGTCATATGATGTAACCTCCTCATGAGAGTGCATCCCCTCATTTCCTGGCTGGGGCCCTGAGGGCGGATCTTGGAGACAACTGGGAATTCTGCCTACCACAGAACTCACGTGATACCTGCTTGACAACTCCACTTGGGTGTCACACACGTTCCTCCCCCTTCCACACTGTGCGTGTTGAAGCCCTTTGCCCCCAGGAAGGTAATCTCTCAGGTGAATGACCCTGGGCCAGGCGCTCTGGAGTAACTGTGACTCCCAACAGTCAGTCCCTTCACCCAGGTCCCCATAAAGTTCCAGTGGGTCAGGAATTTGCCTTGCCTACCTGAGGCAGCGGTTTTGCATTAGAGATGTGCTGGTCGATAGGAGAGCCTTTAGGCAACTGCTCACATAGAAGTGGCAGGATAGTGATTGCTTTTGTGGACCGCCAGGAGGGTGAAAACTGGCAGAGCCCCTTTGGATCCCAGTTTGTCCATATCGAGAAAAGTGGAAGCGGCCACATAGCAGTTATGCACTTGAAGGCTTACCTTGGAGAAACTTCCAGCTACACAAAGACATTTCACAAAAACGAACACAGTAGTGTTTGTGAAAACAAAGCACTGGAATTGACCCAGATGTTCAGCGGCAGCAGGATGGGTGGAGAAACCGGGAGGGGAGGGAGTGGTAACTCGGCCACAGTGAACACGATTGGAGTCGGGGTGTCAAACTTCATTCAGCGGCATTGAGCAAAACAAGTTGCAGGAGAATGTCCAGTATGATGCAGGTGACATGAAGTTGAAAAATGTGAAACGATAATACCTATTAGGGACTTGTTTACATGTAGTAAGAGTACAAAGAAATGCGTAATAGTAAGGAGCACTCTGTCCCAGAAAGTGGCTGCTTCCTGGGGGCTCATGGGTACACACAGGGGAGGTGGAGGGCTGCAGGAGGTGGCTGTTCAGGCCGAGGAATGTGGTGTTCTGATGTAAGGAACTGAGGCAGCCTTTGCAGCTTGGAGCCAGGAGGTGGGGTGGGAAATGAAAAGGGATAGTCTGGAAGTGTTTTTAGGTTCAGGAAGGACATCTGCCTATATTGTGGAATGTGGAACTGGGGAATGAGAGCTGTGGGGTTGGGGTGAGAGAAGCAGGGGAGAAGGAGGTGGGGACACATCTGAGATCCCAGCATGAGCAAGGGGAGGAGAGTGAGCATTCAAGAAGAGAGTAAGGATGGAAGGAAATTTTCTGCATGGTGCACAGGTCACACATCACTTGGGTGTGTGTGTGTGTATGTGTGAGTGATCACTAGTAGATGCAGGGATATGACTGGACTGGGAGTAGGAAGACCAGGTTCTAGTGCTGTCCAGCTGGGCAGGTAAATTGGCACCTTAACTTCTAAATCTGTTTCTGCAGTTGTAAGAATAGAGACCTTCTTACCCAGATTAGCTGCAGCTGATAGCTGCTGAGCTCTCAGCCTGCAGGCACAGTTCTAAACAGACAAGTCTTGCTTGGAGCTCACCTTTTATTATTTTGGTGGGAGCGCGATGTAAACAAAATGAGTAAGAGCAGGGGAGTCGCAGACACTGCTATGCAGACTGCAGAGCATGTGGTGGGGCGGCCAGGCCTGGCCACAGTGAGAAGTGGTGGAAGGTGCTGGCAGAAGTCAGGGAGGGCTTGTCTAAATGGGAGGCTCTTTGTGGGGAGTGTGAGGGTTTGGAATGAGATGGTACATGCAGTGTGTGCATCTATGTGTACTTCCAAGAAAACTGCCTGTAGGGTCAAGCTCTGACTATTTTTGCAAGTGTCAGAGTCTGTGTCCCTGAAATGGGAGGAACATGTGCTCATCCCTGGATGTGACTGGACCCCGGGCGGGTCAGACAGAGTGGGAAGGTTGAAGCAGGTTTTTGACCACATAAGAGGATTTAAGAACATGTCTCAGGTGTGACTGCTTGTCTGCCTTTAGGAAGACCTTGAAGCTCTGATAGCCCATTTCCAGACACTGGATGCCACAAAGACTCAGATTGTGGAGACACCATGCCCCCCACCTTCACCAAGGTAAGCCAGCAAGGACTCTTCATTCGAGCGTCTGATGGATTTGTGTACATTGGAAAACCACTTTAAATTGGCACCATGTTTTCATAAGTAACCAGGCACATGGAATGTTTTCCTCATTCAAACCCATTCCCATTCCTTCCCAAGCCCAAGTTACCACTCCCTCCCCTGCCGGGTTCTCCACCCAGATAAGCTCCCACAAAACGGTTTTTTCACTTTTCTTCTGAAGAATGGGAGAGAGGCTTTTCAGATCTGTTGTCACAAGAAACACAGAAACAAGGTCCCCTGGCTCAGCTGCTCAGCAGGGATTGTGCCATATTCAAAAGCTGTCCAGCTGATCACAGTTCATGGACGAGAGCATTGCCCCAGTGAGCTCTTCAGTTTTAAACTTTTCAGGGGGCGCCTGGGTGGCTCCGTTGGCTAAGCGACTGCCTTCGGCTCAGGTCATGGTCCTGGAGTCCCGGGATCGAGTCCCCGCTTCGGGCTCCCTGCTCAGTGGGGAGTCTGCTTCTCCCTCTGACCCTCCCCCCTCTCATGCTCTCCCTCTCTCAAATAAATAAATAAAATCTTAAAAAAAGTGTGTGTCACAGGCGTAGAACTTCAGATTACAGTCTCTTGTTGCTGTTAGTAATGACAAGTGTGATTTTCAAACATAAACGTGTGTAAGCCATTTTAAATGAATTTGTAAATTACTTGAAGAACTCCAGAGTCTTCTGTAGGATTTCAGATACTTGGAATGAGCCAAAACGAGCAGGCCTTGGTTTTCCTCTTTCTTACTCTTGTGTGTCAATTGCTGTCCTCTCAGCTTCTGAATTCCAGGTGTGTTAGAAGTTGATTTAGGGCCCTCTAATTCTTGTATTTGCTACTAACAGGCTAGAGGGAAAACCCTGAATGCATTGAGTTAGGAATCAGGAAAGGCCAAATGACCCTAGAAAAGATACCACCTTCAGAGAAGGGGAAATGCATTAACTTCACAAGCACACGAGACTGGTTTGGTCGAGAAATGATTCGCTTCCTTTCCCTCAGAATAAAAATTAATCTTACTAGTGTTGCTGTCAGAAATGAGATTAATTTTTTTTTTTTAAGATTTTATTTATTTATTTGACAGAGAGAGACAGTGAGAGAGGGAACACAAACGGGGAGTGGGAGAGGGAGAAGCAGGCGTCCCGTAGAGCAGGTGGAGCCCGATGCGGGGCTCAGTCCCAGGACCCTGGGATCATGACCTGAGCCGGAGGCAGACGCTTAACGACTGAGCCACCCAGGTGCCACAGAAATGAGATTAATCTTACTAGAGCTGCCACCAGCCCGGGTGGAGGCCCGGGTCCAGCATGTCAGGAGGGGGGTGCCAGTCGTGCCTCTGATGCCCAAATCCCACCGCCTCAGACACGGGGTTTAGTTTCCCCTGTCCAGAGATGGGGGGACAACATGGTGGCCCCTGTGCAGAACAGGGTGACGCAGAGTGCTATCCAGCAGCTCCTGGGGTTGCGAGTTGTCCCTGTCTTCACGTAAGAGACATCAGGAAGCGGGATGTACTTTACCCCCCGTATTTGGCGTGTTACCCCGGGGGACACAGAAGTTACACATGTGGTAGACACACATTGTCCTTGGAATGGTTAAAGCAAGTGAGTCCTTGAGATCGTGAATGCTTCGTACCTACGGCACCCCTGAGGGAAGCCATTCTGAATGTGGATTGATTTCCCCCCCATCACCCTCCCCCCCACCTTTTGGTGACGTTTAAAAACTTCCCTAAAGTAATGTGCCCAAAAAGCCAGATTTAATGTTAGGATATAATTAGGAACCTTGGCTCTTCCCTGGTCAGCTGGGAATGCTTTCTGATGGAGCTGAGATATGATGAGATCTTTCAGTCAGTAACCTTAGTAACTTCTCCCCCCATCCTTCTCCATCATATTATAGGAAAAAACCATGAAAATTACCAAGTTTTGTGAGTGTATGTATTCCCAGGTATTGGCTGCGATACAATTTAATGGGGAAGCAAGGACCATAGACCAGGTGCATGACGGAGGGGGTGCGTGTGGCCTGTGTGGAGGGCAGGGACCCTGAGGGGACCCTGTGGGGGCTCTGGGCCTGACTTGGATTACTGTTTCCTAGCTGTGCTTGTTAATTTTCCATAGAAAATTTTAATAGGTATTAAGTGGAAAAAAAATTTGGGGTTAACTTTGGGAAACATGGTTTCCTTTTGAAATTTTTAAGAAACTGTGGTAATATATATCTAACATAGAATTTCCCATTTTAACCATTTTTAACTGTGCTGTTCACTGGGATTCCTTACGTTCACGGTGCTCTGGACCCGTGAACTGTCTCTCTCCATGCCCCTCCTCTTGGCCCCTGGTGACCACTACTTCCTGGTGTTTGATTTGCCTCTTCTAGATAAGTGAAGTCGCATAAGTGAAGTCTCACAACGGCTGTCCTTTTGTGTCTGGCTTCTTTCGCTTAGCATAACCTTAAGGTTCATGCATGTTGTAGCATGAACCTGAACTCCATTCCTTTTTAAGACGGATTAATATTCCATTGTATGGATGCACCGCATTCATCTTGTCGATAGACCCTTGGGTTTCCACCTTTGGGCCCCTGTGAGTAATGCTGTGATGAATGTGGGCATGCAGGTGTTTCTTCGAGTCCCTGTTTACAGGTTTCTTTGGCACGTACCTAGGAGTGGAACTGCTGGGTCATGTGCTAATTCTTTGTTTAACTGTGAGACTGTTTTCCACAGTGTAGTCCAATTTTTTTTTTAAGATTGATTTATTTATTTTAGGGAGAGAGAGCATGAGCGGGGAGAGGGGTAGAGGGGGAGAGAGAGAGAGAATCTCAAGCAGACTCCACACCGACCCCAGGGCTTGATCTCACGACCCTGAGATCATGACCTGAGCTGAAATTAAGAGTCAGACGCTCAACCCACTAAGCACCCAGGTGCCCCAGCATAGTCCTATTTTATAACATTGGTTTCTTTATGGCAGACTTTCTAAAGCTATAGAATGTTTTTGTGTACAGTAAATCCCCAAGAGAAAAAGAGAGTTGTCTGATTTCTCAAACTTATCTGACATTGAAACCTTTGTCTTCCTTTATGAAGGATCTTCCTGAAATTACTGTTATAGCTGCCCCTGAGGAAGGCCACAGGAGGGGTTTTGAAAGAAGGGGATTTTCCAGTGATTGTCTCACCCTCCCACCCCTTCACTGTCTTACTTTCTGCTGGGATGGGCCACGTGTATTTATAGTTTCCTTTTAGCTAGTCTTTTGTCCTCATGTGTGATATAAGTAGGAAGCTATTTGTGTTTTTTAGTGTAAGCTATCTGGATACATATTGAAATGTTTACTGGACTATTTAAACAGTGAAAGATTTATTTATTTACTGGAGAGAGAGTGCAGAGTGAGAGAGAGCATGACCAGTGGGGAGAGGCAGGCAGAAGGAGAAGCAGGCTTCCCGCTGACAGGGAGCCCGATGCAGGGCTCGATCCCAAGGACCCTGGGATCATGACCTGAGCTGAAGTCAGATGCTTAACGACTGAGCCACCCAGGCGCCCCTATAAACAGTTTTGACTGTGATTTAAGAGGATAGACCTGTAAAAATAAGTTAGCTGTGGGAAATGTGGCACTTAAATTAGGAGCACTTAGACTTCCCACTGCCTGATGGTTTTTACCCAAATGCTGTGTGAGTCACCCAGGTCCAGGGCCCTCCTGGTGTTGTGGCTGTGAGTGATTTTAAGGGTTAGGGGCCTTAGCTAAGTTCCCAGCGCCAGGCTTGTCTTTGACAGAAGTCTGGGGAGCTGATACAGCCCTCTGGTGGAAAGGAGGCCAGCTCTCAGCTGGGCGCCACGTGGCTGGATTGTGTGTTGAACTGTTGCTTCTGTCTCTTATAGGTTACATGCCTCTTTCTCTGCTCATCCTGAGAAAGACGAATTAATCCTTTTCGGAGGTGAATATTTCAATGGCCAAAAAGTAAAGTATATATTTTTTTCTTTTCTCCTCAAATTTTCATGGGTCTCATTTTGAGTAAAATTAGTTTAAAGCCATGATATCAAATATGCATTGGTCCCACCTCCTGGGCCTGTAGGACTGGCATGCGACCTTGTCCTTGAGAAGCCACCAGGATCCTTCAGTGAGCTTTAGACCCACAGCTCTTACCGCCTGCTTGAGATCGACCAGCACACTGCTCACTTGGCTTGATTATTCATATGCTCATGATGGGTTTCAGTTGTTTGAATAGTGGAAGAAAGTGCTGATAAATTGTAGAGCTAATTTTCATTTTTGAGCAGACCAAATAGACTTGTGTTTCAGAATTGTGTATGAAACATTTAGAAAAGCCTGAGTTTGCCTTCCCTCCATGCTGAGGGTCCCTGTGAGTTTGACTTAACTTGTTCATCTCCCACTCTGAATTCTCATCCTTTAAGAACCAGGCTTGACTTTGAGAGATGCCTTGCCAAGCAGCAAAGGGTATTGGTACCTTACGTGCTAAGAGGCACGGTGGGCAGACAGTTTTTTTCTTTGTCATTATCCCAAAGGATCCGAGGGGCCTAGCCACAGGCTTCCTGCATTGGTATGATTTACATGGCTTTAGGAAACCTGTTTCCTGGGGAAAGCTAGTGATTGAGATCCTGCTTTCCACTGCTGTCACTTGCATGGAGGTTTCATTGATGACATGAAGTCCCTCTTTTTGCAGACATTTATGTATAATGAGCTATACATCTACAATATCAGGAAGGACTCCTGGACCAAAATGGAGATCCCCAATCCACCTCCAAGGCGCTGTGCTCACCAGGTATGTGTCTGTGTTGACCCTCCGCCTTCTTTTCCTGTGAGGGTCTGTTGTGTGCTCGTGGAGTTGGTAGACGACAGGTGGCCTGGTAGAGAAGGCAGGGGACCTTACACATGGTCCCACTTGCTGTCACTGACTTGAACGCATTGCTAAGCTTCTTGCTCTTCAGTGTCTTCACTTATGAGACGGAGAGGCACACCTTCTCCAGGTGGCCTGAAGAGCATGGGAAAAAATCTAGGTAAATCTACGTTGTGTGGTGCCTAGCACACAGCAGCCGCGTGGCAGGATACTCCTCCTCCATTGGAGTGAGAGGCTCCCGCAGGACCCAGACCTGGTGGCTAGCGAGAGGAATTCCTCGGGAGAAATGGAATGTTCCAGGGTGGTCATTGAGGCACGACATGGGTCATAACCAGAGATAATGAAGGGTGCTGAAGTCAGCCTGTTGTCGGCTGGTTTCTGCTTCCCTGGGGAGCTCTGTCAGAGCTGCTGCCCCTGTCCGGTTCTGTAACTCCACGAGGACGGGCCCTTAGTTTTTTCTGTTCATTGTCCTAACCCCGGACTGGGAACAGTGTCAGGGCACAAAAAATAATTTGAATGAGTGATACGTTTTCAGCATGGAGAAAAAAGATTGTACGAGCCTGTCGTGGTGCAAGTGAAGCATCCCTCCGCAGTACGTGGGATCCTTTCTCGGGTTCTCTCACGGGTAGCCTGCTGATCTGAAACTGGGTCTGCGAGGAGGACCTCCCTGTCTGAACTGCACATAGAGACTGGCAGGCATTTGGACTGGTTTGTCTTTTAGAAAAGAAGAATGTACTTGCAGGTTTAGCAGTACGATCTTAGTAAGCTTTGATTTTAATAAGTAATGGATCTTTTTTTTTCTTTTAAAGATTTTATTTATTTATTTGGCAGAGAGAGAGCGAGCACAGTTTCCTGAGCAGAGAGCCGGACGCGGGACTCAATCCCAGGACTCTGGGATCATGACCCGAGCTGAAGGCACATGCTTAACCCATTGAGCCACCCAGGTGTCCTAAATAATGGGATCTTGAAGTTTGATCTGTTCACCAGAGACTGCCCTAGTTCTTGAGAATGCATGATCTGCCCCAGCCCTCCAAGCTGAGGACGAGTCCTGTCTTGTCCCAGCCATGATCTGTCCATGTCCCCAGCCCTCCCAGACAACTCCTTGGATTCCTGGACCCCAAGAATGCTCACGTTCTGATGGAGCAGTCCCACTCTGGGCCCATGTCACGTGATGTGGGCTCAGGGGCTTCTCCTGAGTTTGTTTTCTTATCCATTTTAATCACAGTTATTTTTTTTTAAAGATTTTATTTATTTATTTGACAGAGACAACAGCGAGAGAGGGAACACAAGCAGGGGGAGTGGGAGAGGGAGAAGCAGGCTTCCCGCGGAGCAGGGAGCCCGACGCGGGACTCGATCCCAGGACCCCGAGATCGTGACCTGAGCGAAGGCAGTCACTTAACCAACTGAGCCACCCAGGCGCCCTTAATCACAGTTATTAACTGTGGCCTTGAAGAATAAGTGTAAAAGTCTTTGTGATTTTTAAATGCCATTATTTTGCCAGAGTGCTCAGCAGGCTCTGATTCATATGCATGCCTTAGGAGGACTTTCCTAGTCTGGGACTTAATAATATCTTTGTAGTTAAGGTTGGTTCGCCGCTTTCTCTGAATTTCACAATGAATCAGAGCTACAGGGAACAGAAAATTGGTTGTAAAGTCCTTGGCCTGAAGGTCATTACAGTCCAAATTCTACGACATTGAATTCTGTGACCTAAAACCTTCCTTTTTATAGACTTGTTCAGTGTGATGTCAGAGGTCACGTTCTTTATCTTCTCTTTAACTGAGGCATAGGGGGTGGAAAGAGGAAGCCTGCATGTACACCATTCTTTGTCTTCTAGATTCTGGAGTTCTGGGGGGTGAAGTTGATTTTAGTGTGTAATTTGAGAGTTTAGGTGGCTTTTCTATGAGAACACAGCCCAGTGAGAGAGAGGAAAGGGTGCTGGTGCCTGCTGGGTGTGTTTGGCCGGGTGTGTGCAGGCTTCAGTGACTCGCTGCTCCTCTTGGCACCCCGTTTTCCGGGAGGAGGACGCAGTCACACAGCTGTGCCTAGACCGTGAGGATGCCACCACCAGTGGGAGGGGGCCGCTGAGAACAGGGACAGGTGACGAGGAGGTGGCCGTCGTCAGATCACGGCTTCTTGATCCCTGGATGGTTTCTCCCAAAGGAGTCACTAAAACTCACGTGAAACAAAAGGGGTTCTCCCCTGAAATAGAAAACAGTTGATGGATAAAAATATCCTCTGTGTTCTTATCAGTCTAGTGCATTAATGAGCAGTAAGTAGTTTCGGAGAGAGGTTAACGTGTAAGAGATCTTTCTTCGTGAGATGAGCGGAATTCCACGATGGTCCGTTGGAGCTGCAGGAAGTGTCAGCCTCCATCTGAATCCTGGCTGGATATGTGGGATGCAGTCCCTGGGAGCAGGCGTGGCGGGGGTCCTGGGTTGCTCCCTCAGGAGTTAGGAGGCATCTTGTACATTCGAGGCACCCTTCTGGGGCTGGGATACGGTGACAAAAAAGACCAATTTGCCTTTCCTGACGATGTCCCATGGTTTGGGTTTTCTCTGGTCCTGGTGGCCTCATGCGTTTTTTGGACCCCCACTTTCACAAAGCTGAAGCTGCTGTCAAATCTCTTCCGAGTCTGTTACTTTGGATTCTGATGGGCTTTTTTTTGGCATTTGGAGGGAGAGTGGGGAACTTAGGGTTTTCCAGATGTGACTTGATTCCAGTTAATGCAACAATAAGCAGACCCAAGTGCCTGGGCGGCATACAGCCTCGTGGGACGGGTGAGGGCGAGGTGCTGGTGAAGCCAAGCTTACCTCGCCCCTGGAGCGGTGCGGCCGTGCTTTGTCTTTGTGAGGCCCAGCTGTCGGTTTCAACAGTAACTTCCAAACCACTGTGTGTATGTGTGCATGAATATGTATACATTTACCGTTGTTTTAGTTTTATTGTTTAATTTCCCAAATATGCAAGTTAATCACTCAGGAGAGGGCCTAGGTGGATAAGCTTGCTGGGTAGGGAAGCTTCCAGCCCAGTGACCTCACTTCCCTGTCCAGTCGGCCAGGCCTGTCGTGAGGAGCTGCCGGGTGGTCCAGCCCATGCCTTGATGTCTTCCATAAGAAGAATCCATATTTTAGGATATCGTAGGAAGTCATTTCATTAGTGCTTAGACTTTTTAAAACGTAAACTCTTTAAGATCTCCTTATTGGGCCCTGAATGTGTTATTTTTGTGTTATGTTTTGAGGTGAATATACATTTTGTGGGTATCTTCTGGCAAATTTTTTTCTTCTGCTGCAGGACATTTTAGAGTACAGTGTGTTTATTCTGAGATCAGCTTTAACTGACAGTGACCTTAATAAAAATCAGTTCTTGGAGAAATTTGGCACGGATCCGTGACCTCGATTAGATCCCTTTCTTACTGCTTTCCCTTTCACTCACTTAACAGTTATGAAGTAGGGGTGCCTGGGTGGCTCAGTCGTTAGGCGTCTGCTGTCGGCTTAGGTCATGATCCCAGGGTCCTGGGATCGAGCCCCGCATCGGGCTCCCTGCTCAGCGGGAAGCCTGCTTCTCCCTCTCCCACTCCCCCGCTTGTGTTCCCTCTCTCACTGTCTCTCTCTCTCTGTCAAATAAAAACAAAAACAAAAACAACAAAAAAAAACAGTTATGAAATAGAAGGAATTTGGAAATTTAACTTGGATGAGACTGAAACTTTTGAGTTGGAATTATAAGATCCTGTTGCTAATTCCCAAATGAACCACTTTGTTCCTTATTCTTTCTGTAGCCAAGAAACTTTTTTTAAATCTTTTTCTTCCTTTGATATAGAGCTGTATATTGTTTTTACTCACAGATAATCTATTAAAAATATTTGAATGGGGCGGATTATTTGAAATAACTAGACTTGTAAAACATGTCTTGCTGAAGGTGTATTTGCACAGTAGTGTGACTTCTGTGCATTTCAGTACAGGCATGCAAACTAGTTTCCCTAGAAAACACTATTATAAAGATGTTTCAGTTTAAGCATCATCAGTAATGTGACAAGGTGCCCCCACATGTGTAATGCACGTACTTTTTTTTTTTTTTTTTTTTTTGCAGAAGGGGAAAAAAACAAGATGAATTTAATTTACCCTAAAACCCATTTTCTTCATCTTTAGGGCTGGCAAGTAAGGGGAGATTTTCTTTATTATCTATTTCCTTAAGAACCTTAAAAAAACACGTAATTTTGCAGGGAGTGCAGATGTAATTTATCATTATTTGTCTTTAACTGGTACATTGGAAAGGCTTCTCTCTCGGGATTGCTTTGTATTGATGTGCATTGGAGATGCGGAGCCCTAGGTGTGTCTGACCTTGCTGTGTTAGCAGCACACACGTGACTTGCCCTTTGCTTGATTTCTTAGACTGAATTTCCTAATTTTATTGGCTGACTGGGGTTATGTTAAGTGGCTAAAGTGCCTTCTAATCTTTAAAAGATGGGTCTAGTTTGAAGTCGGTACGAAAGTAATTTGCCTAGTACTTCTCATGTAGTAGTTTTGAAATCATTCTTAAAAGGTGGAGAAAGTTCTGTGTGACTCAAAATCTCAATGCTGGATCCCAAACAGAAGTTATGTTTCTGTGTAGTTGTTCCTATTTTTCTTGACATGGGGTTCACTGATTTTTTTTTTCCCTCTCAATTTATACATTTGTCTAAATGTTTATACATTTTTCTTTTTTTAATAATTTCTATTCTTTATTGTTTCCTTTCACTTTGGGTTTAATTTGCCTTTTCCACTTTCTTAAGGTGGAAATGTAGAACATGTATTTTAAATCATCTTTTCTTTTTTTTTTTTTAATGTTTTATTTATTTATTCATGAGAGTCAGAGAGAGAGAGAGGCAGAGGCAGAGGGAGAAGCAGGCTCCCCGCCTGGCAGGGAGCCCGATGCGGGACTCGATCCCAGGA